GATGTATCCAGACATATCAAAATTGATCCGGATAAACTTTCCCTAGAACAAAAACGCACATCAGTAATTATCAAATTGTGTTGCATATACTGCATGAATAACTCACGAAACGGGATGAGTTGTCATTCTTCACGGTTTTACTATTACCAAATGCTTCCAGAATAGGATTTGCTTGCAGCAGCTGATGTTCCAATTCACCCTAAACATAGCAGATTAGGCGAAAAAGCGCGAGAGCAGCCAAAAATTTTCTGGAAAGCGCTGGTCACACTGTCTGAGGACTTCTAGTTTAAGCCTTCTGTGAGAGCAAAAGTATTATAACAGAACAAATACTAGGACATGACTAAGTGTGAGGATAGGCAATTTAAGGGTGAGTTACGACAACAAACAACAAAAACAGAACAGTTTACAGACACCGATACATCACTTGACAGAGTAAACTTACGATAGAATTCCGATACTGATCGTGCTAGAAAACAGAAGAAAATCTTAGTAGCTAACGCGATATAAACTGAATATTCGAGAAATGATATGAACAGAAGTGATTAAATGCGATTAGAATCCTACTTTTGCTGGTGATGTTGAAGGTGCTTGTGGTCCTTTAGATCGAGTTGCGCCAGCAACATGGGCCAAGTACTGAATGACTTTCTTGGTGTTTTCTGTTTTGCCAGCTCCAGATTCTCCACTAAACTAGTAATGTATTATCCATAAAAGTCATATTCAGGACTAAAAATCATCGAACAAACTCACGTGCAAAGAATAGATTGGTCTTCGCGATCTGGAAAAGAACACGTTGTTAATATGCAGCTGTTACGCCACCAACTGTTTTAAATTGGGAACAATTAAACAGAGGCTATTTAGGCTTCTCGAGAGTGCTCAACCGCCTAATCAGTGGGAACACACCTTGTAACATGGAGCGGTAAGCTGAATCAGCTATTGCGAAGATGTGCGGTGGCATTTCGTGCCTCTTTTTGCCTTTAAACTCCTCAATCAAACTCTCCGAATATATTGGCAGTCGCTTGTATGGATTGATCACCACGCAGAAAAGACCCGAATATGTCTGAAAGAGAACATACAACGCTGAGAGGGAATCAAACATTTCATTGAAGCAACTCACATAAATAAGAGAACTAAAATAACGCTCCTTGAGATTGTGAAGAACGGAGGCCTCGTTTAGATAAGTTAATTCTGACATGTCCTCGACCTAAAATATTTATTGAAAACTCAAGAG